ATTCATTCCAAAAAAACAGTATTCTCTTCAGCTGGATTCGAACCATAAATCTGTAATGAATTACGTTTGACGGTCTATCGGTGCCAGAATCCGACAAAATGATGTGATCCGTCGACGCTAGGCCCATGTGGCCGACGAAGAAAGTGGTTCGAATCCTGTTGGTGGCACTGATGAAACGGTCAGTTCTGGGCTGGAGATGCAACTGAGGATACGTTTCGAAAGTCAAAACTCTTCCTCATTTCATTTTGAGCATAATTACTTAATCTTGATGGCCTGTGGGGCTTTGTTTCCTTCCGGACCACAAAAAGCTAACCATACGAGGGGCTTTTTGACCGAAGCCGCCGAGATAAAAATGTTCAGAGTTTGAGTCTCACCAAAAGTGTCGATCTCTCCGACATGGTGGGGTTGTTTGGATGTTTAGCGAAGCTAAATTTGGTACCTTCTCCGTAAGTCATCGTGGGTAGTGTGGTTCACGATAGTATACTTCAAAGGCAATCATAGAAATGCAGAAACTGATATTATTATTAATTAATCACACGTTTAGCTACAGCATGACTCATTGGTTTGATTGCTCATGACTAACCTGAGGAGATAATAGAATTATTGGCAATAGTCGCATAATTCATAAATTCTCTTTACAATTGCGAAATTAGCCTCCCCCTCGGCTCCTGCCGGCGCTTATGCAGGCCGATCGGACGAGTCAGATCTTGTCTTTGCTTGTCCATCTGCTGCAAGTTTGCCTCGGTCGCACCATAAAACTCGAGCAAACATGACATGAATTCGTATCTCACACGACCGTGGGCAAGCCGACGGACGCCCACAAGCTGGATGCACCCCTGGCTGCTCTGGTTACACACGACCCTGCTACCTCTTTGCCCTCCTCTTCCTTCCTTTTTCTCTGTCCCTTTCAGCCGACCCATGAGCACTGGCCCAACTCCTCTCTGCTCCCACACACATTCACACACCTACACACATCAATCCACCCATTCGTCCAACCACACACACACACACATATATACATACATTCATCCAGAATTAAACTCCTATTTCTACATAAACACACACACACACACACACAGAGGCAAGTAAATCCGGCCGCGACGTAGACTCAAACGGGCCAGCTCAGGCCCCCAGAAGCGTTAAGTGTGTCGTCGGTCTGATCCGAAAGATGATGTGTTTTGCATACAGATTTCGTCAGTCTGTTGAATTGTGTTGATGTTGCAATCGGAGGCATAACTCACGCAACATTCGAGTCGGTTGGCTGTACCGCCGGCCTATGAAAAGCCTGTCTTTATCCGGTTGTCTACTCAACCATTTGTTCGCTCCACCGATTGTCCGTGTGCTCACACAACTGTCGTCTTCTCCCACCGGTCGGCGTGGGACCGGTGGGGGGTTTCGATTAAGCACAGGTTCGCCAATACAATCCCACCTCTTTCAAAATGGACTAACAAGAAGAAGAAGAAGAACAAC